AGCTGACGTTTTCATTGAATTTCACATAGCCTTGCTTTCCCAAAAGTTGTTCTCATCCAGGGTGGACTGCCGTTTCGAGTAGCCGAGTTATTAGCGTGTCAAGCTCCCATTGCGGTCCGACACCCCCTTGGGGTGTTGATAAGGCAATGCGAGGTCGAAACTGCAGTCCACCCAGGATGAGAACAACTTTTGGGAAAGCAAGGCTATGTGAAATAGTTAGTCCGTCGAGATGACGTGCTGCACAACGCTGAGAACAATATTGGGAAAGCAAGGCAATGTGAAATTATTCACATAGCCTTGCTTTCCCACCCTGGATGAGAACAACTTTTGGGAAAGCAAGGCTATGTGAAATTCAAAGGTCAAAACTGCAGTCCACCCAGGATGAGAACAACTTTTGGGAAAGCAAGGCTATGTGAAATTCAAAGAGGTCGAAACTGCAGTCCACCCTGGATGAGAACAACTTTTGGGAAAGCAAGGCTATGTGAAATTCAATAGCGAGGTCGAAACTTCAGTCCACCCAGGATGAGAATAACTTTTGGGAAAGCAAGGCTATGTGAAATTCAATGTAAACGTCAGCTCAACTCATATCATTGTGGGAAAATTCTACTACCAGTCCTTCATCACCTTACACGAAATAAGGTGAATACATCTCATATTAATTCATTTATAGTCAAGGATTCTTCTCAGTTCATTGTGAGAGAAGAGTTTCAATATTACCGAAGCAAAAAAGGATGTTTTCACAAAATTCTCGCTCTTGAGACCATTTAACAACTAGTAATCTGCAAGCTACAAGCACCTACATCATTGTTCGCGCTACCTTTTTCCTTAACTAAGGATATTAAGGAAATGAGCCGAAAGCCTAGTTGCACTTGATAAAGGATAAACTAAATTGAATAAAGAAGTATACTCACTTAGGGTCAAAAAATAATATTTAAAACTGTAATAAGATAGAATAAAAACTAGTAAATGGCTCGATAAATAAACAGCATAATTGGCCTGCCGGCAAGCAACCTTATGCAAGATTTTAGCATTGATAAAGCTGGATAAATAGCGAGCAATATGAGATGTATTCACCCAATTTCGTTTAGGGTGATGAAGGACTGGTAGTAGAATTTTCCCACTGACGTTCTCATTGAATTTCATATGGCCTTGCTTTCCCAAAAGTTGATCTCATCCAGGGTGGACTGTAGTTTCGACCTCGCATCGGTCTTATCAACACCCTCAGCAAAAGTCGAACCACGACAGTGCAGGATGGGAGCTTGACACGCTAACCACTCGGCTACACTGCCACGAGCGTCAGCTCAGCTCATATCACATTGGGAAAATTTCTTCTTCTACCAGTCCTTCATCACCTTAAACGAAATTGGGTGAATACATCTCATATTACTAATTTAAAGTATAGTAATCGATTGGTATAGCAAATATACGTTTGCTTCATCGACAATCACACCAAAGAATATGATATGGCAAAAAGGCCTGGCCTTCCTTGAAAATTCACATTTGCCCTGTCACCCAAAAGGCGCTCGTGGCAGTGTAGCCGAGTGGTTAGCGTGTCAAGATCCCATCCTGCACTGTCGCAGTTCGACTCGCACTGAGGATGTTGATAAGATCGATGCAAGGTCAAAACTGCAGTCCATCCTGGATGAGAACAACTTTTGGGAAAGCAAGGCTATGCTCAACTCATATCATTGTAGGAAAATTCTTCTTCTACCAGTCCTTCATCACCTTAAACGAAATTAGGTGAATACATATCATATTACTGATTTACTGGTAGTCATGAAAACAATGCTTAATTCGAAAAATAAATAGCGAGTAGCTGAACAAATAATAAATAGAAAATGTCGGCAGACAAAAACTCGTAAGATTTTTAATGAATAGCATGAGAAAAAAATATGAAACTGAAAGAAGACCAGAGGTTAGATGACAGAGGCTTTGCATACAAGGGACTTAATGGGATCAAGCCTGACGGGCAAACTAGCATCTCGGGACCGAGTTTCATTGCCGATAATCTTGTCCTCCAGGCGTACGTTGGTCTCTGAATCGGAATGGCAGGTGAACGCATCACCAATAAGGGCATGTGAGGCATGTTTAATTCCCGCAATCACATAGCCCACTTGGCCAGGATATCTAATGCCGAAAGAAAAAGGGCAAAACATTTTATTATTTATTAATTATAACAAGTTTATAGGTTCATGCCACGACTTATTATAGCTGAGGATGGAGCTACTATGAAGAAATATAACCAAAAAGTATTCTAATTAATAGAACTTAAGATGGCCCGGATAACTAGGAAATTATGGATAGGGCTTAATTGGATATGTAGGATATTCGGTTTGCACATAGGTGACAGTACCAAAAATAAAAATAAATTTTTCGAACAGATTAGTGCTATACAATCGTTATCTTATTAA